TAAACGAATGAAAATAGAGTTCAGTCATTTTCCTTTTTAATTGAATATCGAAAATGTAACAATATGAAATGCTATTATTAATTCACAATAAATAATTATATACGTTATTATGTTGTGTCCACCAGACCACCACTACTATTGGGGAAACCAACGGCTCCACCACCCAACCCAATCTTCAATGCGCGGCCGGTGAAAATAAATTATATAATAAATATTAATAATTATTTTGAAACCCTCTAGTTGCCTTGAGACCCGGTGCAAAAATACCATTTTCGAAAAGTCCCACTCCGCACACTGCTCAAAGCCCTTGAAACCGACGAGATTTTTGCTTTCATTTGAACTAGTGTAAAGCCCGGCCCATTGGCTGGGTAGCGTTCTCATATCATTATGTCAATTGTTGGTAATTGTCTCGTTAGCTAGAATTATTATAAATTCTTATTTTCTTTTGCTTTCTTTTACCCCCCCCCCCAAAACCTACCCTGCCCTCTTACTTACTTAAATAATTTTATTTCTTTTTCTTAAGCCGCTAGAAATAAAAAGCAAATTCAACGGGCTAAGTTAGAGAGTTGGAGCAACAATAAACAATCACATCAACAATTTTCTTCACATCCCACATACAAAATATAGTGAAAACAATGAGTGAAATCTCAGAGCTCAAGGCAAAGGTCTAAAGTCTGGTCTATGGGCTTCTAAGTCCAGTCCAGGTGGTCCATGATTAAATATCGACCCCATTGGCAAATAGTCAAAATTGCAGTGGGTGGTTGATTGATGTGGGTGGATTGCATATTATAAATTTCATACTTGCACTTACTCGGGTATGCGGATTGCGGGTCACATGAATTACCTGCAGTATATTTTTACATGACGAAAATTATTTCTTGTTTATACTATCGAATATTCATTATATTTTCTAATCACACTACACACTAGTCATCGGCCAACTGCAAGTCTTACCAAAAGCGTCGATGACAACCCACTAGCTCTTTCCAGGACAATAATTGACTAATTAATTTTTTAATAAATAAACAGGTTGCAACATGCTTAAGGGAAAAACCATGGTTAAGGGAAAAAGAGTGCAGCGCGTATATGCTCCCCCTCATGACAACATCAAAATGTAGTTTTGTGAACATAACTTTCAAATATAGTCATGGTAAGTTTCTTAGTGAACAAATCTTCTAGATTGTCACTTTATGCATGATCTATTATGACCATTTTCTTCAAACATGATGTTCACGATCATTTTCTATGAAATTAGTCCACAACCTTAGGTCATTTAGACGTGTTGAATCACAAATTTTAACCAAAAAAATTCATAACATGTCTCATGAATGCTAACCATTGTGCATGATCTGATGATACAACATTTTTTATTTGTTTAGAATCTCCATGAGATAGTTGTACGACCAAATAACTCATTTTTAATAATCATTGGATCTGTTGAGATTTTATAAAAGTGAATAATCGTCATACGAATCGTGTTGATCATATACTTGAGATTTCATATTATTCACACTCCCCATGTGATGTGTGCCTATAAATAGATGATATCCTTGTACTAAGGAACACATGAATAAGAAAGCTCTATTCCCTCTCTCTTCTTGTGTCCTACTTTTACTCTTGTGTCTATTGCTCTTCCTTGCTATTTTATAATACGTTATCTGGACGAAACTCTGCCAAAGTCATGGTTGGTCATTTTCTCTTTACATTATCAAATATACTTGAGTAAGCTCACAACATGATCAAGGTATGCAAATTTTCATGTCATTTCTTGTTAGTATGTTTATCTATCTCATTGTCTTTGAGAGATTATTTGATCTTGTTATTTGTTCATATTATTTTATGAACTTATCTTATATATATACCGATCTTGTATCATAGAGTTTGTGTTTGGACATTATTAGATAATGAAAATTGCTCCTGTAGTAGCAAAAATAGTATGGGTTGACTTATTGATTACTACATTTGACATATAAAGAAATGATTATAAATGAGGATGACACAATAATTCATGTAGCAATGTGTGATGAAACTTCGTGTGTCGAAATGTGTAATGAAACACATATATGATGATGATGTTGTTGTTGTTATTATTATTATTATTATTATTTTGTATGCTTTTGTATAGAATGAATATTCACAAAAGTCAATACTGGTATTATATCATATATTATGAAAGTAAGGAAAAGCTATGGAAGATATTGTGTTTTGTTACTTGAAGTAACTAAACAATATATTGATGATAAAATAGTGTGAAAATATTCTTATCACTATGGATATGTGCTCAAAATAATTCACCAAATCGGAAAGTGCATAATGGTCAAAATGTAGTACAAGAGTATGTGAGTGCTCCAGAAGAGTTAATGTTTTGAGCCGTGAAGGAACTAAACTGTCAGTTGAAAATGCATTACATAATTATGAAGATATTCCCAGAAATGGATATCATAATTGATATTGCATCAGAAATGTGTTCTAAAAGAACATATACTTAACTGGAGAAATTTGTACTACATGTATATTAGTACATATGAAAGTGTAAACTAGAAGTTTACAAGATCGGATAACTATTATTTAGGTATGTCTGGTCATACCATCCCGGATACAGATGCGAAAAATGATTGATATATCATAAGGAAATTAAGTGAGAGTTTAGAGAATTCATCAATCAAATGATTGATTTTGTGATACATGCTCTCGAGGAGAATATACTCACTTGTGAAAATCATTGAATCTGTTGAGATTTTATAAAAGTGTATGCACAAAAATACATTCATCGTGCTGATAACGTGTTATAAAATAGCAAGGAAGAGCAATAGACACAAGAGTAAAAGTAGGAAACTAGAAGAGAGGGGGAATAGAGCTTTCTTATTCATGTGTTTTTTTAGTACAAGGATGTCATCTATTTATAGGCACACATCACAAAACCTCTACATTCTTATAATTAATATACATGAATGTGAGAATGAATGTGAAATGGGGTGGGGAGTTACATGTAACACCCAATTGTACATTTAATGTGGTGGTCATCCATATAAATATTTACATAATACGTCAAAATGTAGGGTTTCATTTAGTTATTATACTCACCCGCTACAAAAATTAATAATGTTCATATGGTCTCGACTCTCGGATAAAGTTTTTAGTTGAAGACAATGTACAAACTTTGACATTCATGATCTTTTGGTGATGATTTCTTGGTTAATGCATTCCAATTTAGCTAGCTTGTGGACTTTTACTTTTATGATTGGGTTTTAATAATAAAAACATTGCTCCTTCGCTTACATAAAAACTAAATTGGATAGTTTTTCTTATATGAATGTTGGACGTTTTTCAAAATGAAGCACACAAAAATTTATTTGACTTCATATGCACCTCATTATTGATTCTTGCTAGAGATTTCTTGAATTCTCTACCTATTCTTCTCCTAAGTATCTTCCAAGTAAATTGGAAGTCTCTTATAGCAAAACTTTGATAATAGCCATAATAGTTCCAACACTATGTAGCACCTACATATCATATTTGGTTAGTATGTAAGAATTTTGTTCAATGACTTCTTCCTATATCTTCATGGGTTAATGTTTTTTTTTTTAATGAAAAATTCGACCTAATATCACTGCTTAGGATGCGTAAAAAGTTTGTGGAATTGTGGTGGTTCGAGAAACATAGTTTCCAAAATTACGATTGATTTGGGAGAAAAAAATATTGTAAAGAGTGACGAATGGCAACGACTATAGTATTTTTGACGGTACATGTGCATAAACTTTTGAACCTTATATATAAGGTAAATAAATTATAGTCAGTGACTCCATCCTTCACTTTAACTAAAATATTGGCTGGTTCCTTTTTATCATGAAAATTTTAAGTAGGAGTTGAAAAGAAAGATCATTTCCCCCCTCAAAGGCAAATTCTGCAATTCGTATCCCCATTGTCAGCGTTACATGGTAAATGGAGATGCGAGTTTCGGCTTGGAGGGAATAAAAAGAAAAAGGGTTAATACCTTATTTTGGCCCGAATTATGACCATATAATCAACTTTGGCCAGTGGTTTCATAAATTAACATCCTGGCCTCAACTATGCAACATATAGACTCAATTGGCCCGACACATAGTTTGACCGTCAATTTGGACGGTCAACTCCGTTGACCGTTAGTCAACACGCCATGTCATTGCCTAGTCAGCCTAAAAATCATTAAAAAAATTATTTATTATCAAATTAACCAAAAATAAATTATAAAAAACATAAAATAAATTTATTTTTTTATTTTAGGATAATTTGAAAATGATAAATTATATAAATTAACCAAAAATTATCAAATTATTTTATATTTTTAAAACTTCCCAAAAAAATATAATTTATATAATAATTTTTAAATTTATGAAATTTAATTTGATAGTTTTGGTTAATTTATAAAATTTAGCATTTTCAAATATCCCAAAGAAAATTATTTTATATTTTTAGAATTTTATTTTTTGGTTAATTGAAAAATGATAAATAATAGAAATTAGAAAAATAGTTTGAATTTTTTAATGATTTATATGCTAACTAGGCATTGACATGACATGTTGACTAACGGTCAACAGAGTTGACCGTCCAAATTGACAGTCAAACTATGTGTCGTGCCAATTGAGTCTATATGCTGCATAGTTGAGGCCAGGATGTTAATTTCTGAAACCACTGGCCAAAGTTGATTATATGGTTATAGTTCGGGCCAAAATAAGGTATTAACCCAAAGAAAAAAGACAATTTCATTGGTTATCGACGTAGTCGTTTTAGATGGATGGAAGATGGAATGGATGTAACATATGTATTCTACCGGATGAAAAATTAAGATAGCATTTTCCTAGAGCTCTCTTGTTTTTTTAATTTTAATTTATCATTATTTAGCAATTTTAGAGTACACTTTCGTCTGGAAAAAAGTGGTACTTGCAAATCTCTATATCAAAGTAGGGATTCCGGTAATTTCATGAGAAACACAAAAATATCTATCGCTTTCTTCTATATACCTAATTTTTGTTGAATATCTGGATTTCTTTCCACCGCGACTCCATATAGCTGGACATATCCTTCTGAGCGTAAACTCCACACTTGAAGTAATGAGAGCTCCCTCCATGATCCGCTCCTTCATAAACAAGAGCTCCGTCAACGTGAACGAAAACTTTCCCGGCTCCGACGTCGTGAATCACGTTCAGCCTAAACCATCTGTCGGAGATGCCGGGCACGATGACGGTGCTGTAGGCGGTGAGGTTACCGCCGTGAACTCGAACGGCCAGGGTCGTCGACTGATTGCTAGCTCCGAACACTTGCGTTATGCAGACGCCGGAAGTGCCGCTCGGCACGTATGCTTGTCCTTCAAACTGCCACACTCCCGACGAGTAATCGTGTCCCTGCAATATGACGACGCGCTCGCGCGGTGTTAGTAAATGGTATATATATATGATGAGTTATTGGCATCAGATGGTTGTTGATATGGTATCGGAGTCTTCGAGTTATCGAGAGAGGTCTTGTGTTGGAAGATTGGAATTTCCTATCCCATCTGCTAATTTGTTAAGCATATGGTATCCCGCGACCCGTGTGAATTTACTTCAGACCGATATATGAGTCGGTTTTCGTTTGAAAAAGAGTGTATTATTGGTAAATGGTATATAGTAAGAGGGTGGCAAACTGATAGGATTGGTGGATTGATTCATGAATGCAAATGACGCTCAAATTTTGGACAATTATACCAATTTTGAAAATTTTAGGTACTAAAAATGTCGTAATGAAAAAAAATTCACACTCAAAACTTAATTTCCAAGATATTTTTAGTCTGAAACATAAATTTTCAGGTGTCAAAATGCAAAATATGAAAAGACTAGGTGCTAAACTGCAATTTGTTATCAATCCACCAAATCACAATCCATGTATTCACCAATTCAATTCGATTTGCAGATCAAATAGATTCAACTCGAATGGATTGGATTAAATTGGATATTATAGTGTGAATGGATTGGATCGTTGGATTTGAGTACTCTAGTTGAGACACCTTTATTATATGATTTATAATTGAACATCTTTCGACAACTCGAATTATTGGGATCAAAATCATTTTCTACCGCTAAAAGAACAAGAAGGCAGAGATAGATATATGCTCTGTTTTTTTTTTTTTTTTTTGGGGCTTACAAGTATGCGAATTTCGGTGCGTGGCCTGGTGGGGCTGCCAATTTTGAGCGGCTTGTCCGTTGAGAAAACCCTAAGCGTATGAACGCCATTTTCGAAGCTGTAACGCTCCTCCTTCTTCAGATCGTACGGCCACTGAACCTTCATATCTGATGCCGTGAGTGGAAGCGCGACGAACCCTTCCGTGGGATCAGCCATTACCAACAGCGAGGAAGACAGCAGCAGCTGATGAACAAATACCATCATTGCGACAGCTTTGACGTCGCAAAGTAGAGAAGCCATGGCCTTCTGTAAACTACTAAGAGATGGGAACAGAGAGCTTTTGAAAAGGGTAAACTGATGAGCAACTTTGACAATCCACTGCTTGAGAAATGAATGAATGAGTAAAGCTCCATTTAATATGAAGAAATGAAGGAATATCGGTTGTATGTTGTCGAGATAGGAGAATTATGTTCCCACCTTAGTGATCTAGCTAGCTGCTCAGAACTTGTGGGTTTGTCGCATAGGATGGACTCTTTCTTTGTATTCAATCGGCCTTTGGCTCATGTGGTGGTGGTGGTGTTGACCAGTCTCTGCTGAATTTTTTTTTTCATGAAAGAATTTGGGTTATATTACTAGAATTCTAGCGTAGTACTTATGGTAGTAATTGTTTGTGGGGTGAATGTGTAAGGAAGTGATATATTCGTTCTGACTGTTGGCATCATTTGGTGGTGTTATCTCTTATATGCAGTGGTGGAGCTAGAAAATTTGAACAAGAGGGATCGTAGGGGATAGTTTACATAATCTTGTTATGTACAACTATGCATAGCTATAAACTCATTGTTAAAGAAAAAGGTAAATTATCTTCAGTTAATTTTAATGAGTTATATCACTTTTGTTTCAAGGTGCAATTTCATGTTTTTTTTTTCAGGGATGAATCAGATTGAATGTAATATTCAAAATGACATCTACTTTGACATATTTTGGAACAAAACAATAGAGACATTTATTACTAGTATATACTATGTGGTAATGTTTGGTACTTGGTAGTACATAAGATGATACCACGTCCACATGGTATAAAAGTATATTATAGTGGTATGAACATAGGAGAGTGTCGAATGGTTGCATACATGATGATAGGAATAAACTAAATATCATTTATCATCCCTTTCATCAACGTATATCACCAGTTACCATCCTATACCGAAGTGGTATAGGATGGTATATTTGGTCAGAAAATTTGTTTCCCAAAAATTTGTAGACTCAATCGATCACAATGAACTCGTTCCTTTTGGGCAAAGTTTTTCTTAATTTGAGTTAAAAACAAATGTGGTACCGGCCAGCTGATAACGAGTCATATGAATTTTTTTCTCAAAATATATTTTAAATATATAATTTTGTAGATCAAAACGAACTCATTTCATTTGTGAAAAAAATTTGAAATACAATTTAAAACAAAGAAGATAAAATCTAATTTAGAAAGATGGAAAAAAAATAAAAAAAACCCTTTAATCTCACTTCTTAGAACCGGCCCCACTTAAAATCAAGAAATTATATATGATCATGCATTCTAGGGTTATTGTCCTATATTGGACCGGGAGATATATCTACGTTTAGAGAATTTGAATTGGCGAGGAGTTAAAAAAGCTTATCAACAATTATATTCTAAAAATTATTATTATAAGTAGACTACTGCCTTTTTTTTTTTTTTCCTTACGGACCAAGACTACTGCTTAAGTACAAACAAAATAGTAACTTCGGATTTCATGAAAGAATATGGTTGTGGTTGAGTGTGGATAAGTTTTTTTTTTGGTGTGAAGAGTGTGGATAAGTTAAGTATGTATGAAGGAACTTCAATAATTTTTTAAGGAGTTACTGAGATTAGCTGGATTCATTAATAATAATTTTTTAAGGAGTTATTGAGATTAGCTGGATTCATTAATTTTTGTCTTTCGTGAACAAGATTAGTTCTTGGAATTGGCTCCTATCATTGATCTCTTTTAGTATTTCTTTTCTCTTCAACATACTATCTAGTATATCTACATTTGACAAGTCTAAAACAACATATACTCTCCACGCCAGCTAGTAAGTTTAATTAATATTGATAATTAATTTGTCAAGCTATTAATCAGACAGATCGATCGATCCATTAAATTTCAAATAAGGTTATTTGGAATTAAATAATCGGAACACATTAATCCTGAATTATCCCAATCCCACTGCAATTTTGCTGTGTAGCATCCCAATCCTGAATCATCATTATTAATCCACCTGAATAGATGCTACTCCAAAGCAAAACTACCCGTTGTGACCCTATTCAAACCCAGAAGTCAAGTCACATTTTTGTACAGAACTCGAATCCCCTTCCAGCGAGACTCCATACAATCCGACATATTGTTCTGCCCGTAAACTCCAAACTTGAAGTAATGAGACTTCCCTCCATGATCCGCCACAACGAGGAGCAGAACCCCGTCGACGTACACTTCCAACGCCGCCGCCTCCACGTCGTGGATCACGTTCAGTCGGAACCACCTGTCAAAAATCTCCGGCACGATCACCGCCCTTTGGTAGTACATCAAGGAGCCATTGTACACTCTGAGCATCAAGCTCGTTGCACGTCTACTAGCTCCGAACACTTGCATTATGCATACCCCGTTCGTGCCCTTGGGCACGTAGCCCTGCCCCTCGAACTGCCAGATACCCGAACTGTACGTATAACCCTGCATGCACACCCACACAACAACAATGCAGTCAATATCGCGCGAGATTTTTTCGTAAAATCGAAAAACTGAGCCTGATTGTCATAAACCAGTTGCTCCCAATAACTCGAGTTGTTGGGAGGAATTTTGTGTTGGATCCTATACAATTCTCTAAATACACGCCGCCTCAAACAAAAACCAACCCATGGGCTTGAAGTTTGCACAGTCCCATCATACCTTGTGCTTTAAACAACGGTTAATATTGGGGGCCGTGGAGATTCGCACACACGACCACTTGGCCAAACTATCTTTGCTACCATGTTATTGGGACCAACTGGTTTTATTATGACATGGTATCAGAGCTTAGAACCAAAAGGTCATGTGTTCGAATCTCCACGACCCCCCAATATTAACAGTTTATTAAAGCACAAGGTATAGTGGGCCTGTGCAAATTTCAAGCCCATGGGTTGACTTTCGTTTGAAAGGGCGCGTAAGAGTGTGGTATAAGATCCGGCCAGCAGAACCTTCTCCCAACAACTCGAGTTACCACGCTCTTACACTAATAAAGACAGGGTTAATCATGCATGAGGAAGAGAATGCGCACTACTTACTATCTTGATCTCTGATCTTGGGTGGGTGGTGCTGCCGTTGTAGAGCTGTAACATCCTGATTTTTGGTTAAGGTTCAACCTGTAATCGAGCCTGTTCGAATTGGGAGCATAGTTATTCTAATTGATTTCTATTTTCCTAAGGATAAATATGTTAAAAAAAAAAGAGAGGAGAGGAATAGTTCCCCACCCGTTACCCGCTCCCTCTCTAATTAACCCCCATCCTCAACGTTTTCCATTAAGCTTTTCCCCCCAATTAAATTTCCCTAACAATTAACCCCACCCCTCTGTATTATCGACGTTAGCATAAGAAGGAAAGAGCGAAAGGAAATGAAAACCCCCTACCGTCCCTCTCTCCCTCTCATGCCCGACTTCCCATCTCCGGCAAGCGAGAAGCCCGACCCTCCATCGTTGCCACCCTCTCATGTCGACTACTTCCCGGCGACGACCAGTAATGCCAGTTGCTTCATTCCTCCCGGCGACACGCGAAGCAAGCAACGACAACAGATGAACGAGAAGGAGGAGGGTGTCGTTCAGAAGCACTAGTGACAAGAGGCGAAGGACGGACGGAAACGATAATGGTGGTGATCAACAAACCTAGGAGTTACTAAGTGTCGCTAGATGTGGCAGCGGGACAGGAGAGATTGACGATGAACGATAGCAGGACTGCCACTTCATACGACACAACTAAGAATTATAAGAAGGTAATCTTTGCTCCTGATTTAAGGATTGAAGTCAAATGGTGACAATTGAGATGGAATGGTCGCCGATCGAACATCATGAGGATTTTTATTATTTTGGTGGCGAATTAATTGTGAATATGCTAATTGGTGGAGGCTTTTGGGTTACGATTAACGTGGAGGGTGCTAATATAATATTCCCACCATATAATTGCACTTTGGTTTAAGTTATAGGTAGTGATTATGGATTTCATTCTACTGTAGCAGTATGTGGAAATGAGGCTCGAGTGCTAATTAGTTGATTATAGAGAGATCAAGGGATGGAGACAAGATACCTACCTTACGTCAAATTCGTTACTTCAGTATCAAGGTGAGTGTAAAGGGGGTAAAATCTCCGTCGAGGTCTTTTAGTTTATGTCTTTTAATTCAGTTATGTTATTTAATTTTCAAGTAAGCGCGATTATGTGTGTGAGGCATCCCACCGCCTACTTAAGGTGGAGGCACGCGTTGTGCTATGTATGTGATGTATGATTGATGGTAATTGAACCCCCGGGCGGTTGGGCCACTACTGGACGCGGTAGATGGTCGGGTCACTGCTGGACGGCGAGACGTAACGCAGCAGTTGATCGAGTATGTTGGGGTCACTACTGGACGGCGAGACGTAACGCAGTAGTTGACGGGAATGGACTGGACGGCGAGACGTAACGCAGTGCCATTGCCGAGTTTGGGTATGCAACCGGACGGCGAGACGTAACGCGGTTGGCATACTAGGGTAGGACACCGGACGGCGAGATGTAACGCTGTGGTCCTAGTGTTTTGTGTTTGATTTAAGGATTAAAGTTGAGAACTTCTATGAGTTAAAGTTTAAATGAGTTATTAAGGATGGAAGTGAGAACGACTTTCATCTAAGGAAAGGAAACGCTAATAACGTGTTTTAGTAAGGAGGTTGCTTAGGGCGAGACCTTAGGAAGTAACGACGAGACTGACCCCTTCTCACTCACCAGGTTGAGGAAGGGTTAGCAAGGGTGGATCCCGAGAAGAGGCAGTGTGAGGCGAGCTACTGCACCAGCATGGACGAGACCTCAAGGAACTCAACCAGGAGTTAGAGCTGGAGTTAGCTTAATTTTATTGTTTATGGTTATGAGTATATGTACTGGAGATTCAAAGTTCAAGATTTTGGGTTAAGTTGTTTTAAGTGTTTGAGATTGAGATTTTGCCCAAGTGTTGGGGCTTTTTGGTTTAAAATTATTAAATAAAGTCAGTTGGTTATTTTAAAATGTGGTTTGGGTTGCTCCGGAGTAACCGGTTTTGGGTTTGAGTTGTGGTTTGATTTTCGAAAAAGGTCGGGACGTTACAAGAGCGGCTTGTCCGTCGAGTAGACCCAAAGGTCATGGATCCCGTCGGCGAAGCTGTACCGTTGAGCTACCGGCAGGTCGAACGGCTTGTGAATGCTGTAATGAGAGGTGTTGAACGGCAGCTCCGTGAATCCACAGGTTGGATCCAGAACGTCCACCACGCCGTTGACTGACGATCCCCAGCTAATAAAAACCATGAACAATACCGCTACTACGACTGCCGGAAAAGACATCATATCGATCGGTTGCCGGTAATTGACTGTGTCGAACTGTCAGAATTTCTCAGGCAGCTGATGCATGTATGTGTGTGTAAATATAGAGTTTGGATGCATGGTGGAATAATGAAGCGAACATTCGATGGCTGGTCTTAGGTCGGCCATTGATGATTCACGTCCGGTCAATGCGATAAAATGTTGCCCGCCGGCCGGCTGGCTGGCTGGACCTTCGTTATTGTGCATTGGCCGGGGTTTTGTACTATGTATAGTCTTGGTTTGGATTGGATAGAATCTATTTGTGTGTTTTGCTAGATGTATTGGAATCTGTGGATCGGCTGCTTATTTCTGTTCGGGACACGTGTCTTTTTAAGTTAGCGTCAGTTTGGTTTTGGTGATGGTTTAGCTGAGATTGTTATCGTGTGTGCATTGTTAATAATGCATCCTTTTTTTTTGTTTATTTATTTAAACAATACACCCGCATTGTTTTGTTGATGTGATGGAAACTAAATATCATTCAAAATGAGTGATGGTAATATCTCTACTAAAACTTGAGATTGTTGAGATAGTTTTGAGGAGATTGTTGGGTTCCCTTTTTTGTTTCGATTATCCCCCTAGTTATATATGTATGTTCTCGTAAAAGTAAGGACAAAAGTGATATTTTCCACAAAAAAGTACAGAACAATCACAAAAACCAGATAATGTAAAGTACATAACCTCTTTTTTTTTTAATTACATGTATATTACAATGTATACATTGATTACAATGCATTGATTTAAGTATCATCAAAAGCAAACGAACTTAAAGTGTTGAATGGGAGTTTTTAGTTTATTAGCAAGCCTATTAAGGTAATTAATTGGTATAAATATACAAACTATAAATACGTAAATTATACTAGTCAGACCAAATAAAAGTATACAAACGGGTATTGAAATGTGTACAATTAATTATGGAGGAATGGAGGAAGGCGAATGTTATGGAGGAGGGGCGGCGTCAAGGAAGGAGGCAGGAGGCGGTCAACGGGACGGTTCAGTGGCCCCAGGGTGTGTCTTGGGTGTGCTCCTTTGATGGGGCGGTACGTGAGGCATCTCACTCTGCGGTGGGGATGGTACTGCAAGGGCCGGATGGGGTGGTGGTCAGGGCGATGGGTGGGGGGCTTGCTGGTCTTACTGACCCTATGTTGGTGGAGTTGATGGCCCTTCGGGAAGCGATCGTGTGGTGTCGGGCGATGGGGATCCAGGGTGTCTGCTACCAGGGGGATGCGAAAGTCGTGATTGACAAAGTGGTGGCGGGCTGTATGTGGGATTCCAGTGGGGGTGCGGTGCTGCAGGAGATTCAGGGCATGTTGGCAAATGGTTCGGGGGAGATGCTTCGATTTGTAGGCAGGGATAACAATAGGGTAGCCCATAGGGTGGCTAGGAAGGCCCTTTCTTTGTATCCCGCTCTTATTGAGGGGTTCGATTTTTGCGTTTGGCTCCATTCGGAGATGTAATCGTTGGTGATCTCTTTTTCTTGGTAATGCAAGCTATCTTTGGTTTAAAAAAAAATGTGTACAATTAAATTATAAAAGTATTTAAACTAATAATATACCATAATACAAACCGAATTTTAAAAGCATATAAACCAATGAAACAAAAATATTCAAATTAGATCATAAAAATATTTGAAAAAGGTTATAAAGGTAGTCATTTTACTTTTCATATTCAAGGGGGTCGGGTTTGTGGTTGGGTCGATTATTGGGTTGGTTTGCGGGTTGGATAGGGAAGGGTGACATGGCGGGCAAATCTGATGTGGCGGGTCGGGTAGTCATTTTTAGGGTTAAAATATGCTGACTGTGATTTTCTGTTAGCCACGTCATCATTTAACGGTCCTTCCATTAACGGAGTCTAACGGAGTCTAACGGAGGTTAACCGAGAGTGATCGAACTTGAATTGTTCAACTAATTTAAGTGACTACTAATGGAATAAACCAATTTTAATGGTCAAACGTGAAATTTTGTATAGCAATTCGAGTGACAAATTTTGCTTCAAGACATTAATTGTAAGAGGACACTAATTAAGTCGAAGCCGTTGCATTTTTGTACAGAATGCGGACGTCCTTCCATCGAGCCTCCATGTAATACGACATGTCGTCCTGCCCGTAAACCCCAAGCTTGAAGAAATGCGTCGTCCCGCCGCGGCCAGGCGCCTGGTAGAGGAGCACCCCGTCGACGTACACTTCCAGCAGCGCCGCCGCCACGTGGTGGATCACGTTCACCCGAAACCACCGGTCGAAGATGCTCGGAACCAGCACCGGCGATCTGTAGTACGTCAGCGAACCGTTGTACACTCTCAGCATCAGCGTCGTCCGGTGTCCCACCTCGCCGCTACCTCCGAACACCTGCAAGATGCACGCGCCGTTGGTTCCGTTGGGCACGAACGCCTGCCCTTCGATCTGCCATATCCCAGAATTGTAGACGTAGCCCTGCAGAAATTCGATCCGTGATCAGTGTGGCGAATTTGAATAGAAAATTAGATACCGCGTAAACAATAATGTATATGATAAGCATATAGTTTTTGTTACGATGTCAATTGTACACGCAAGCAGGGGCGGAGCCAGGATTGGAAAAAATCCCAAGTTACACATGTTTTAAAAAAAAATTCTCAAAATACACACGTTATGAAAATAATTCCCAATCTACGCATGTTTGGGCCATCACCGCTGTCAACGAAGACAGTGATTGCATCACCGCTGTCGACGAAGACAGTGATTGCATCACTGCTGTCGACAAAGACAGTGATTGCATCACTGCAGTACACAGGCGCAGTGAAGGCCTAACCTGCGTCGAAACTTTAAACAAACGTAACTTTGTGCTCGGTTATCCGATCGTAGCGAATTTTTTTTTTATTCCGCATAATTTTTCAAGATCTTGCAAGCCGCAAATTGCCGTAGGCGGTTTGGTCCCGCCTTCGTCTCGAAAATATGTCGTTTGCTACCCCGAACGAGCCTTTTTTCGATTTCGTCAAACTTTGAACGACCATAACTTTGTGCTCCACAATCCGAAAATCATGAATTTTTTTTTATTTCGCATAACTTTTTAAGGAATACAATTTTTATCATAGACATATTTTCGGAATGTACTTGGATTCCTGAAAAGGAAGGTAAAGTTATTCCCAAAACCCCTTATATCCATAAATAATTAATTTTTTGAAAATTCTCTCCTACTAAATATTGTAGTCCTTAAAAAGTTATGCGAAATAAAAAAAATTCATGATTTTCGAATTGTGGAGCACAAAGTTATGGTCGTTCAAAGTTTGACGAAATCGAAAAAGGCTCGTTCGGGGTAGCAAACGACATATTTTCGAGACGAAGGCGGGACCAAACAGCCTACGGCAATATGCGGCTTGCAAGATCTCAAAAAATTATGCGGAATAAAAAAAATTCGCTACGATCGGATAACCGAACACAAAGTTACGTTTGTTTAAAGTTTCGACGTAGGTTAGGCCTTCACCGCGGCCGTGTACTGCAGTGATGCAATCACTGTCTTTGTCGACAGCAGTGATGCAATCACTGTCTTCGTCGAAAGCGGTGATGCAATCACTGTCTTCGTCGACAGCGGTGATGACCCAAACATGCGTAGATTGGGAATTATTTTCATAACGTGTGTATTTTGAGAATTTTTTTTAAAAACATGTGTAACTTGGGATTTTTTTCGCCAGGATTTAGCTTTCGGGTAGGCCGAGATTCTCTTAATATGTTACTGCAAAAGGCTAAAATTCTATTAAACAAAAACTCATTCTACGTTATTATAAGTGCAGGAAAAAAAATTCCATATTAAATTCAATATAAATCAGGAAACTATTTTTATAACTAAAGGCGAATGTCTACCAATATAATTGTTTGGAACAAAATTTATTCATAGTATATTAAAAATAACGTCAAAATTGAAGAATTTATACAAACGATTTAGTTTATACATCTAATCCCGACCTTTTTACACGTAACTTTCAAGATTCTCTAGGAAGGCCGAAGTCCCCCAATGCTGCTGTGGCTCCGCTCATACATGCGACCGTCTATTAATTTAGCAAATTCATCAATAAAGCAAGTTTCTTCTCCTCATGTCAGGGTACCTCAATATACCAAAGGCGGGTCTTCCTATAGCTTGATTCAATTGGACCGACCACTTTATCTTATTGGGTTGGTTCAAAATAAAATAATTAGGCTTAGAATTTTTAGGTTAGATTTAGAGTAGTGGTTTGGATATATGTTCTTTTAGGCTGAAAATCTACATTAATCGAAAAGTTCATAAGCGTTATATTAATTCTGGACTCATAGGAGGGCTGGATCGTGGCCTGGAAGAGGCCTTCTAGATTCCTCATCAGTGGAGGAGCTAGGTTGAAGCAAGGAAAGGGCTATAGCCCCCCTCAAATAAAAAATTAGATAAATTTACATGTAAAATTCGCAACAAATTACGAAAACATAGTAGTCAGTAAGACGGCCCTAGCTAGCCCCCCCCCCCCCCCTCCGATTACCATGATTCAACTCAGGCCCCCCTCATCCAGATTCCTGCAGGCTCCCACCATTGTCTGTCGCTCCATGATTAACGCATAAACCACCACTTCATTTAAACATTTTAAGGGGAGATCATGATTGTTTCCTCGGGAAAACCAAATGCCACCGCCGGTGCCGAATTCGTTTCCGGCGATGTTGATTTGATGTTTCACGATTGAAACTCTTGCGGTGCCGTTTGATCGGATGCACCGCTGCTTGCTGAAATCGATGACGATCGTCAAATATCCACCGGGCGGTGTTGATTTGATCGATGCACCTCTAAATGGTGAAATCGACGTGACCGTCAAATATCCGCCACCGAATGTCGGCGTCGTTGATTTAATCGATTCACCTCTGACTTCTAACCAACGCGACCGTTACTACGGTTCGCACCTCTCCAAACTACGTTCGAACGAGGGTGTTTGAGTTTTTGAGGAATCTACGCTACCGCTACTCCTATGGAGATTCCTGTGGAGACTACGACTAAGACTACAACTATGGAGATCCTTCCTGGAAGGAGAGCTCCGCGAAGGAGTTACAGAGAAAAGGTAAAGTTTGAACAGAGTTGATCTGTGTTGATTTTTTGGTTCCCTTTCTCTCTCCTTGCTCCACTGCTTTTATTCGAAAAACTGCTTCGTAGCCTTCACGCTCGGTGGAACCGCTTCCTCAACTGCTCCGTTGTGAAATCCCCCGTGTCTCAACTGCCTTGATCTCCTCTTCTGCTTTGCGTAAAAATCACGTGCCATCGAAACCGCTCCTGTTTGCAGAAACTTGGCGAAAAGCCAAATCCTACAACCTTGTCCATGCAACGATGCCGTTTCACCAATACCGCGGCATCACCTTTCACTAATCGATGCTGACAAACAATGTCGTTTTCCATTCCGCGACATTGTTTCTTTTTCAACCAAACGGCACCGTTGTGCTTGCCAGGCCTCGCCAAAATCCAAACCATTGTGGTATGGTTTTTAACTAAACGACACCGCTTAGTGATACTGCGGCGTTGTTGATGCCTTAAACGGTGTCGTTTTTAACTGAGCAGCACCGCTTGATTCTACCCGCGACATCGTTTTAACATTGAACGACTCCGCTTCCAGACTTGCGGTGTCGTTTTCTTTCCCAACCAGCTCCGTTTGTTTTTTCTTCCGCGACACTGTTTATTATTAAACACTGTCGTTTGCTAATCCGCGGTACCGTTGGGCCTACTCGCGGTACCGTTTTAACTCTCCGCGATACCGCTTGTCTCCATGCGGTACCGATTTTCCCCTTCCAACAAGGAATAAAAATATTAATTAATTATAAACAAAACTCCTTCCCCAACACCTACATTGCGCGGCCCCTCTCCAGTTCCGCGGTACCGCCGAGCTTCCTCGCGGCACCGATTTTCTGTTTCGCGGTATCGTTTTAACTCCCCGCGGTGCCGCTTCTCACAAGGAATAAAAAATAATAATTAAACAATTAAAGACTCCTCCTCCAACCCCATTAAACACACGACCCTCTTTTTTTATTTTCGGCCAGCGGTGTCGTTTCCAGCGTTGCGGTACCGCTGAGCTTCCTTGCGGTACCGCTTTTCCGTTTCGCGGTACCGTTTTAGTTCTCCGCGATACCGCTTGTCTCCCAACGACACCGTTTTTTACCCATGGTATCGACTTAAATGCCGAGACTAATTAATACGGCATTTAATTTCGGCCAAATTAATTTTAGGTGTCAACAATGATGCAATTAGTAAATGGTTAAGATCCATACATATGGATCTCTCCATATATATTGTGCAGTACCGGCTGCTCACCCTAACTTGTGTTTGAATCAATTGTTTGCGGAGACTCGAACATACGCGACCACTTGGTCAAATCAGGTTCCGATACTATATCATAAACAAAAGTTGATTCCAATAACGCGAGTAGTTGATAGTGACGTTACGTTATACGTACGCTGATCATGAGCTCGGTTCTGGGCTTGGTAGGGCTGCCTCTGCGGTACGGCTTGTCGGTGGCGTAGACCCAGAGCCGGTGGACTCCGCCGGCGAAGCTGTAGCGTTGGGTCTCCGGCAGGTCGTATGGCTTGTGGAGGTGGTAGTAGGAAGTGTTGAATGGTAGGTCTGTGAACCCTAAAGTCGTGTCCACCTCATCAGCTCTGCAACTCATCATCATCATTCCCCAGCTGATCATCGTCAACAACAGAACAGCAACTCCCATGCGACGACGAGAGTACATTTCGGTAGCGCCGGTGAAACTCGAGACCAGCTGCAATTGCTTCTGCAACGGTATAGTTTTCCACGCAAATACATGCTTCTTTTTTATATATATGATTGTGACCATTGGCATTGTTTGGTCTTCGGTCAATCATTCCACGCAATGTGATGGAAATTAATTTTGGCCGGCGCATATATAACCCGTCAGCCGTCCGTCTTATTGGATAATCAACTCTTCTGCTGTCTTGTCTCGGAAATCGTAGCGAAAATGGACACTCGGGGGGATTATCGACATAAACTAAGGTAAATGGATTCACAATTTCGGTAGGGATTACGTTTTGGAAACTAATTCCCGGCTAAACTGGCGTGGAGCGGTTCACTGGTTAATTTGCGGTTTGACATCGATCCATTCATAAATGACTCGAATGGTAGTAGGGTGACTGCGAGTTTGATAAGTTTCCTGCCCGTGCACTTATTCGGGTGGGTCGGGGGTGGATTGCATTGAATAGTCTGTGTATTCTGACCTAACTAGTAACTAGGGATGACAAACAAACCCATGGCCGCGGGTACCCGACCGTCCCCGACCCAGTAAACGCGGGGAATTCCCGCTTTGACCGGGTATGGGGCGGGTATGGATAAAATCCGCAAAAAGTTTGATGGGTATGGGGCGGGTATGGTTTAGCCTCCCCCGCCTCATACTCATACCCGCCCCACCAAGAGAATTTCTTCACATATGAAAAAATATGTGGATCAAATTGTAATCTATCAATGATGACGAGGATAACTCGAGAAAATAAATAGTAGAAATGCAATTGAGTGACCACACTAATCAAAACCTAATTCATTTCACTCAATTCTTCTTTCACTCTTTCACTTTCCCCCTTGTCAACAAGATTATATTAGTTAATTATTACTTAATAGATCTATCAGAGTTATAGCATAATAATTTGAAAAATATTATACTCTATATTATGTATTAATGGATGTTTTAGAATCATATTCTTTGAACCGTATTAAAAAAAATGATCGTGTTTTGTGACTTCATGATATAATAAGTTCGTTTAGAGTTATACTTAAAACTTTTCTTGTAAGTTTTAGGTATAATAATGTTGGATGTACGGGGAAGGGTATTACCCATGGGTACCCGAAATCCACGGGTATGGGGATGGGTTTGCAAAACATTCTCCCGCATGGGTATGGGGCGGGTATGAGTTTGGGTATTTGAAGATGGGGATGGGGATGGTTTAGACAAACCCGCTAGGGATGACAATTTTGCCCATACCCATGGGTATTTTACTATCCAACCCAATTGGGTTGGGTATGGATTCCAAATAAATGGTAGATGGGTAGAGTTTGATGGATTTGTACCCATACCCATTTACTTGGGTTGGGTTGGGTTTTTAACACATGGATTTGGATTTGTACCCATGCCCAAAGGAAAATTACAGTTTGGTACCTAAACTTAATAGATATGAAGATTTAGTACCTAAATTTAATTTTTTTTGCATATAAGTCCTCAAAATATCGATGGAAAATTACGTTTTGGTACCTAAAATTTTTTGGTCTTACATTTTGGTACCTAAACTTTTCAAGTTTTACAAATAGGTCCAATTTTTGTGTGTAGTTAAAACACCCTCAAGTAAATGGATATCCATATCCAACCCATACCCATTTACATTATGAAAGCAATATCCATACCTAACCCAAACCCATTTACAAACCCCCAAACCCATATACACTTCATCCAAACCCTACCCATACTAAATGGATCTATTTGGATTTGGATAAAATTACCCATGGGTGGGTAATTGCCATCCCTAAAACCCGCCCCATTGCCATCCCTACTAGTAACTGCACTACACACTAACCATTGACTTCTAAGACAAGAACAAATAATATTTTAGACTAGTATTATTGGTTACTATGTTGTCTAATTTTTTATTAGATATTGTAATGCAAATTATAAAATAGTAATTGTTCAAATTTTCAAAAATGTGTAAATTTTCTCTACACAGTTGGTACTTGGTTGATAGAGTAATGAAAATTTGAAGTGTCTAAAATTGCAGCTATCTTATGAATTTGCGAGGAACTTATTATAAATGTTAGCCTACTTGTTTAATGGGTAGTTGTGAAAATTGATTTTGCAAATTGACCTACAATCCAACCTCATGCGCCATCCACCCAATCTAACTCAAAGAAGAATATGAGCGAATAATGAGTCATAATTATAACAACTCGCGAGTGGATCAATTTAAAATCAAAATGTCACCCAACCCGCCTATTACTCAGCCGTAACCAATTTGGACAATATGGCATGATCTAATTATGGGCTGGGCCTAACTGAATTTTGAAGTTACTAATGCGGGCCTAAAACGGGCCTCAGGTCGCGTTTCTCAGCTCCCCGCCTCCCCCAAATCCGAGAAAAATCTATTACGTGACCGTCAAATCTTTATGGAGAGAAACAAACTGGTTCACCGGCGCCAGCGGCTGTACACCGCCGCCGTGGGAGATAAAACCCTTCGTCTCGCCGGGGAAACAGAAAAGGAAAACGCAAGCGAAGGACAGCAACCACGACGGCTGGTTGCCAGCCTCTTATTTTCCGGTCCAACATCACTGCCATCACATTCTTCCTAAATGGGCAAAAGTCAAGCCCTAAGCTCCTTCTTCCGTGCCGCGCTACAACGATCCAAAACTCCCTCCGCTGTCCCCGTTGCCGTTCCTCCGACCACTACGGCCAAAGTTCTGGAACTGTGCGTTTCCAAAACTCCCTCCGCTGTCCCCGTTGCCGTTCCGCCGACGACCACGGCCAAAGTTCTGGAACTTTGCGCTTCCAAAACCACCGCCGGCTCTGCCACCAAACTCCCGGCTAAAACCTTGAAGAAATGCACTACTCCTGCCCTTGAGACAGCCTCCACCGCTGCAGCCCGCTCCGTACGAATTCCCATACCATCGTCGTCATCCTCGACCATCAAAGGCTCCACGAAAACCCGAAAGAAGCCCTCCCGCAAAACGAAGCAGCATCGTCCTTCAGCTAGTTCAACGCTGCCCAATATCAAATTGGAAGCTTCCAATATCGGCTCAGGTACAGGTTGGTTTTTGCTCGGTGCTAAAATCGTATGAACGATTCTGATGGACTGTGTTCTGCCTCGTGTAGATGTTCCCCCACTTGAGCTGACACGGGAGCTGGAGAGCATAATGCTCGGTATGTGTTTCATTTCCTCGTCAAATTTGGTATTGGGGGATTCTAATTTGTACTTGATTGGCGGACTGTGATGGCCCGAGCCATTTGGATATAGAGGATCCTGAGGGGTAGCAGGTAGAATTATGGTAGCACTGGTCTGCTTGCATGTCATTGGATTTGAATTGAACAAAACTAAAAGAGAATAAAATGACAGGGGAAGCTATGAATACTATAGCTGGAGAATTGACTAGAGAGCTACTAACAATCTTCAATAGCTAACGGGGGACTATATCATCATTCCGAATCAATGAACTCTCATCGTGACTTGGGGTCTGCGGAATAGCTTTACTAGTCTTTTTGTTAATCTCGTTTCAGGTCTCCCGTGTGATGCTGAGGGAGCCAGTGACGAGTTATCTTCAGGAAATGTATTGGGTATCCCTTTTTTGCGGGATTTGACAAATACAGACCCTTCGCAACGGAAAGAAGAGAGCCGTTTTAGGAAAGACAAATTCATCTTCAGCTCTAGCCAGGAACACCATGTTGAGAAGATAACCAGAAGGATTGCTGAGAAGTTTGGGTCGGAGAAGACCCTGGATGTATTTGGAAAATTGGGACGAGCAACAGGCGCAAAAGAATATGATGCATTGATAAAGAGCTGTTTAAAGATTGCCAGGGAAACTAAAGATGACGAGATTATTTCCAAACAAATGTCTATGTGCTCTCATATCCTCACCATGATGATGGAGCAAGGTTTCCAGATCGAAGAAAATTCTTATGGACCTGTGCTTATGTATTTTATTGATATGAGGATGGTTCAAGAATTCGATTCTCTTCATCAAGCCATTAAAACTGGGAAACCTAGCTCTCCTGCAAGATTAGGCTACTATGAGATGTTGCGATATATCAGAGTTGGTGATGAGCAAAAGATTCAAGAACTCTGCAATATGATTTCTCTTGGTTGCGAAACTAAGAATCTCAAGGTACATGGTAAGTGGCTTATTCTTTGGCAGTTTCAGAGAACTAGTCCAATTTTCTAAAGGCTTTTCCTCAATTCCTGTAAGAGTTTATATACGTCATTTTATGGTTGCAGAAAATTATTTTATAGCACTTTGTGAAAGTAACCGGAAGAACGACATTTTGCCACTGCTGGACGTTATTGATGTAACAAAATTTGAGTCAATGGAGCACATTTCCACTATCTTTAATAGCTTTGGAAGGTTGTCCCTGGAGTCCTTCACGATGAAGTTCCTTTTGGCATGCAAAAGTTGTGGTAAGTTCAGTTATCTCGTTCTTGCCCCATTATTGTCATGCATCTACCAGTGGCGCCACGTAGTAACTGCTAATTACCAAAACGAAAAGAAAGTTACCCTAATTTCTGAGAAGTATGAGAACTTTTACGGTAAGAATTTTGTGGGGCAATATTCTTGACTCGGTCATTTGTGAACTTCAACTGTTGTTTGAACTGCAATTTGGGCATGATCTTATTTGCTTTTATTATAAACAAAAAAAAAAAAGCTTCAAATGCAAGTCCCTTGGAAAACATTGTGTAGTAGGAAGGGAAATTTCTTAAAATAGTGGCAGTTGTTTAGAGCTATGAAGGACCTAAAGCATTTGTGTTTTCATTTATAGCCAGTGATGATCCCAAATATTTAACCTAAAGGGGTTGGATGTTTTTCATCTCTCTTTAAATCTAGGTTAAACTGTTGGAGTGCATTTGTTTGCAAGCTTTATAGCGAAATCTTGCCTTTCGAATGATGTGATTTCCAACTTGGCTGATTTTAAGTTCCGGCATCTTGAGTCTTGACTATGTCAGTATGGAACCTATACCGATTCTTTTGGAATTGAATTTTATATAAGATCTCCACATACTATCTCAATGAGGA